CGTTGCTCTGCACGGGGCGAGCAGGGTCCCGCCTGACTGTGCCAGTGCCCAGACCCCGGTGTGGAGACACCCAGGGCTACCTGGGACCGACCTGCCCCCTCCTGCAGTGACCCGAGGAGACGTGTTTGCCTTGCCGGAGGATGATTACATCGACTACATCCCCACCACCAAGACCGAGGTGGGAGAAGGCACCGAGGCAGCGCTCCCAGAATGGCCCACAACCCTGCCACCCATGCTGACGCCGCCGGGCAGTGAGGTGGACCCTGAGAAGACGCTGCAGGAGGAGGAGGAGCCCACGCAGGAGCTGCCCACCACCACGCTAGATGGGCTCGGAGAGCCAGGCCCCGAGCAGCTGTGCAGCAGGAAGCCTTTCGATGCCTTCACTGACCTGAAGAACGGCTCCCTTTACGCTTTCCGAGGTACCTTGGGGCCCTTTCCCGGGTGTGCGGCTGCCCCATCGGTGCCCCACTCTTGCAGCTGCGCTGCGGAGGAAGGTCCCTCCTTCCCCTCCTGCCACTTCGACCTCCCCTCTCTCTGCAGGGAAATACTTCTACGAGCTGGATGAGACGAGCGTGCGGCCCGGCTACCCCAAACTCATCAGTGACATCTGGGGCATAGAGGGCCCCATCGACGCAGCCTTCACGCGCATCAACTGTCAGGGCAAGACTTACATTTTCAAGGTGGGCAGAAGCACAGGGGGCAGGCCTGGGGGATGCTCCCTGGGCGGCGACGCTGGGAGCGAGGACACAGCCCTCAGATTCGTTCTGTTCTGACCCTGATACCCTCCACGCACACACACGGCAGCTGCCAGATATGCCCAGATCCCTCCCCCTGTCTCTGTAAGGGAGGCCACACTCCAGCCTGGTCAGTGATAAGCCATGGCTTGGTGGCTTTTGCTACTGGTTGTTGCAGGAGGACAATGCCACAGCAGAGGGACGTGTACAGCTGCAGGCACTGAGCCAGCACTGCCAACCAGCGGGCCAGTGCGGTGCCCCCGAGCAGCCACAGCCTTACCGCAGGGCATCCCTGGTGTCTGCTCTACCCTAGGCAGAGCCCGGGGGATGCCGCTTCTGGCTCCCTGTGCATCTCCCCGACCCCATCTCTGTCCCACACCCCCAGGGCAGCCAGTACTGGCGCTTTGATGATGGAGCCCTGGATCCTGGGTACCCACGTGACATCTCCGAGGGCTTTGAAGGCATCCCGAACAACATCGATGCAGCCTTCGCCCTCCCCGCGCACAGCTACCACGGCAATGAGAGAGTCTATTTCTTCAAGGGTAAAGAGTCCAGCCCCTCCGCACCCGTATGGAGCACCCTCGCACCAGCAGCTGCGGGGCAGGACACGCGTGTCCCTCTCTGGGAGCGCCAC